CCCCCCCGCCCCTGGTTTTAACCCTCTCTAACCCCACTCCTAGCCCCATCCCTTCTCTGGCCTTGGCCCAACTCCAGACTGTGATCCTGACCCTGTCCCTGCTTCCCGCTGCAGCCCGGACCCCCACCCAACCCTTACCCCGACCCTTCCCCTCTTCCTGCCCCATATCCCAGCCCTCACTGTGCCCCTGAACCCCGACCCCAGCCCCTGCCCGGCTGCAATCCCACCTCTCACCCCGGGGGTGTTTCTCGGGGAATAAAGTTTTCTCTTTACTGCAGCATTAACGACTGGGCACACTGGGGTGGTGCCTGCGGACTCGGAGAGGAAGACGAGGGACTAGCGAAAAAATCGTCTTTGTGGCCCAAAACAGTGGCAGGTATCAGTCTGTGCTGCTGCTCCCGTTTCTTCCTGGTGAAACACACATTAATAGTTAATGACTGTTTGCCGTCACCACTGTTGCTGATTTTTACAGTGCTCCAAGTATTAAAGGCTCTTTTATTTTCACAGATATGCAAAGAATTCAAAGCACCTGGGATCAAAAGGATTTCTTTGTGTAAAATATTTTTAGAGAAATCATGGCACTTCAAGGCACTCGGATGGCCCAGATGACTCATACCTCTGTGCTGCGTCACGCGGAAGAGCTGGTCACAGAAACCTCTGCTCCTGCGTGCGCCGTGAGCTCACCACTTGGCATTGTATATACGCACCCCTACGTGTTTTGCCTGCATGTGAGGGGGTGCTGGAAGAGACAGAGGTCTCCTGCAGCCGTGCTGCCCGTGCTGGGCAGGGGTATGTCCCTGCACCACGTCCGTCCTTGTATATCTGCTGCAGCTGGTGAATCCTAAATCTAAGAGTCATCCTGAGGCTTGGGACAAACAAGAGGAAGGCCCTGTGCACCTTGATTACTCCGTGAAGTAATTACTCCTGCCACCCTGACCTCCTCATCTCGCTCGTATCCAACCCAAAAGAGCTCAGAGTGGTGGAGGAAGACAGAACGGCCGCCTGTGTCCCCCCTTCGCCTATGCTCACCTCTTTCTTCCCTCAGCCTCTTTGCTGTGGACTTGCCCTGGACACTGGTGTGCATGCTGGTCCCTCAGCGACGGTGGG